AGTTTCCGCCTAAGCTCCGCTGGCCCGCTCGACTGCTATGTCATGCGGCACAGTCTACAAGTACAGGTGACCGGTCGCGAGATCGGAGCTCCGTAGCACCGAGCGAGTGTGGCGAAGGTGGGGGTATTCACCGCATCAAACCTACAGGTCGCCTGGACCCTTATCTTGAGACCAATAGTACATCACACACTGTACATTGCACACCACATGCCGTGCACACCGCACGTCACATACCACACAGCACACAGTGCACACCAAGTTCCGTGGGTTTTGCGGTCAGTCGGTATTTCAACCAAGTGAAGGGAGAGCCGCGCACACCGACAAAAACGCGTGTCGAAAACGGCCTGGGAGAATGCCGCAGAGTGCCGCGACTTTGACAAGGTGGGAACTACTCGAGAGACAAAGACAGTCTGACCAAGCATGGGCACTGGGTACAAACTACAATGGTCTAGCTGAAAGGGAAATGTAGCTGGCAAGCACCGCGACTGATGAGGTGGAAACTGGCCGGTTTGAGGGTGAAATGCATCGCCAGCGCCTGGGCCCTGACAGCGGATATGACGCATTCTCCGGGCCATTTCAGAGATGTGATGGAGCGTCCCCCGCGGTGCCATTCTGAACGGATGTGCCAGGAGCCGGTAAACAAATAGCTATGGACAGGCGCGTCCGCCTGAGCGAGTGTGGCCTGGGGAGGTGGTGGTCATTCCCGGAGCCCAGCTCAGGGACACCGGGGGAGAGAGTCGGTGACTCAGACCGAATGAATGGCGCTCATGACTGGCCGATCGACTGGTATTGAGCGAGGAGTGAATTGCATAAAATCCACGGGAACGTGCATAAAAATCATGCTATCGTTGAATCAAAAATATAAAGTTTTCTCATGGCAGAGAGCTTATATTCGATAGCAGAAACTGCAGGAGACGCCGCAATTCCCAGTTACGACATCGCGCGGTCGGCCGGCAGATTCGGACCGGGGCCGGGGCTGCCGGTCCTACATTGGCTGTCGTTAGCTCACACCGTGCTCTTTACCGCGGCGCTCAAACATCCGTCAGCGGATGCACACAGACCGCCGGCGTCATCGGCCGCCGGCGCCGGCGTCAACAGACGCCATTGTTACCGGCCCGTTAGGCGCGGCGTCATCATAAATCCGCTACACGCCGCCAAACAGTTTTTGAGATGTTGAAAGTCCTGCCCAAAGAGACACAGCAGGCAAAACAAACAAGATAAACTAGACAAATAGACGGCACAATGTGTGCGCACGGGGACGGCGCCGGTCCGCGCCGCGTCGCCGCCGGCGGACCGACACAGGAGGGCACTGTGTGAGACGGCGCGGCCGGCGGCCGTGTGTTTATCCGCCAGCTGCTCGAACCAGCAAACACGGCCGAGACGGCAGAACCGGGCCCGTGTGGCCGCGGCCGCTCCGCCGCCGACACCGTTTACATCCCGCCGTGTTTTATCGTGCACGCAGACCATAGAGGGCCATTCAGAGGTGGATTTTACGGCCCTGAGGTTTGCTAGGAAATGTCTGCTCGTGTTCATTGCCAGCTCATTTGTCGACGCTTTAGTTTAGCTGCCCATCAGTGTAAATGAATGAGAGTCATAATAACCAGCTTTTTAGTGCCATCCCATCCATCCCCCGGCGGAATCGCATTCATTAGCTGACATTGTTTGCTGATATCCAATTACGCTAAGCCCTGATCTGCCGGGCGTTCTCCTCCTGAGGGTCGCTCCCGCACGGCGCTCCATCACAGAGGCTGTTTGCTCATTTAGCGGGCTGGGACACGGAGTCGACGGGCCGCCGGCTGAGCACCCATTCACGTCAGCTCAATGCCCGCCACCAAACATCTCCCGCCTTCAGCTGGGCATTAACTGGAGGCCGACTCTGGCGCGCCCCGCAGTCTCTCGGGGCGGCCCAGATGGCAGTGGGTGGCTCCTAAACGACTGCTACTTGTCACGTATTCAATTTAAATGCAAAACAGCTACAACTTCAAAAGAGCTGCACGAGTGTCACCCCTTCTTCCCGCGTCGGTTCCTCGCCAGCCGCCCTCCACGCCGAGTCATTGCCGGTCTGGGAAGCACAATACAACTACGGGCGGACAAGACATGCGAGTAGGTATGGCTGACCGAGCTGGACACAATATGGACCCAGTCCGCGACTGACTAAGCCGCTAACAGCTCGGGTTGTTCGTAAGTTGTAAATCGTGTATCATTCGTCCAGTATCAGCATCTTTTCACCATTGCGTAGAGCAAGACAAACGATGTTCATGAAACGAGCGACGTTGTCGAATAGTTCCGAATGCGATTGGTCACCATCCATCTGTGTCGGCGGGCCATTCATATGTCAGCCGTTCATACCGCGCTGGATCAGAGAGTGTGGCGCTATAGCGCCGCACAGGATATGGAGACAGGAGAGGTCTATACGGGTCTATACGGATATATTTGTCCCGTATACGGGACAAATCCAGCCTTTTCGGGGGAACGAAAAGTTGCGTTAGTAGTCGACCCCTTTCCCCATCGGACCAGGGTGAAGGAGGGGTGCGGGAGGGGTTCCAAGGGGGTGCGGCATGGGGTAACAGGAGCCGGCACGGCGACACCCCGGGAGCGGGCGGGAGCCGACTTCCGTCGGCGCCGGGAGGGCGGCACGTGGAGACCCGCCGGCTCCCCTGCCCCGGTGACCTCTGTCACTCCTGTCCCTGTCCCGTTAGGCGGTACGGGCGGACATCGATAGCAGCGCCTCTAGCGGTCATTAGGGAAAGCTGGGCTGTAGGCGACGAAATATCGGCAGAGTTGTCACACGTTGAATAGGTTTATAGACATCCGTCTTGTGAAAAAGGCGAACTTTTGCCTTCAATATTTCTACAGGCAATTTTAGAAGTGATCTTCACATCTTACAAAACCGTTTAGATAGTTGTATTCACTTCAAACCGTCCTTATTGTTCTTGACGATGATGCTGGAACTATTTATAATCAGTGTTTCTAGCTTAGCAAAAGAATATATTGTTCAAACGATGGAAAAACATAATAGGAAAATTTTAATTGCAAATTTTCTCTAATAATTATTCATAGATTCTCTACACATCAAGAAAAATTTGCATGCTAACTGATAATTCAAAGTTCTTGGGGCCAGACGTTTTCTTCTTTTCTTACGTCGCCCTAATGGCCGCGAATACACTTGTGATAACGCCTATCGCCCTGCGCCACCCTGGAGCGCCGCACCCCTCCGACCCGCCGGTTCCGCCGCTCAAATAACCGCCGCCGCCCCGAGCCTGACCTTCAGAATGGGCTACCGGGGAACTGTCCAGCTACCGTCTTACCCGTGTCAGACGGGATTTCAGAGCCGCAGGTACCGGTGCATGACTGCTAACGCTGCTATTGGCACTTTGTGAGTGTCAGCCGGACGTAATCTTGCGGTAAAATCGGTGATTTACGGCCATGGAGTGATTACTGACAAGTTTTATTGCCAAGCCGAACCGAATTGAAAGCAGACCGTGTAATTTACGTGGTTTACGTGAGTTTTTCAATTGATGCAGAACAGTTGGCAGATTTAACGGCAGATAGGAGAGATATTTTCACCGATAGTATGTTCAGGATAGATAAATTGTAAGGAAAACTTGCTAACCCACGTAAACCCGCATACCAATACTGCTGTGTGCGAGCTATAACAAAATGGTTTGTTTGATTGAACTGTTGTGATTGAATCAATAAGAACCATTCTAAAATTATCATTTTCTGTTTACGTCACATCGCATAGTTATATGCAAGCATTAAGCATGGAAAATGACAAATTGCCATGCAAAAGTGATAAAGCAAACAAGATACTCATACCGCGCCGCACTGAAACGAGACATATGGGATTCTAATAAGACACACTTTCAGATCGACTACTTTGGTATTACAATTAGATTTAATAAATACAGGAAGTTCCAGAATTTTGTCTTCTACCTTCCAGCAAAGACGATCTAAAAAAATCCTGTAGGGATTTTTTTTAGGGATTGCCATATTCTTACACGCTGTTAGTAAGAATATGGCAATGGTGATTTGACGCTGCTTTGTACTACTGCGCCTTTTTCCGGCAAAATAGTCACAAAACAGGAAAGCTACGTTATTATGGCGCTGGAGTACAATTAGTAGGCTACTGATATGATTCATGCATCGTTGTAATGTCCTTTGACATCTCGTTACATAGCGCCATCCTGATTTGACAAACGGATCTCTGCTCTCTCTGAAATAGCACGTCTCGCATGGAAATAAAGTAAATATTCGCCGGGCGCTGGCTATTCGGGGACTATGATCAAGGTGACAATGATTCAAGCAAACGACCTCATAGATCTCTCGTCTCGGACGTGGCCCAAATGTCAGGCGAATCTACCTCTGAACTCGGTCCGAATAAAATGTGACAGCTTCAGTGAACCAAGATGTCTCTTGTGATTCATTGCATGTCCGTACACAATACGGTTCAAAGCACTCTGGCAGGAGCTGTCCTAGTGTCGCGTGCCACTGGCAGGCCTTGTCGGTTCAAGGAGAATGAAGGAAACTATACATAGTATCAGCGTCATGCTATGCTATCCTCAGCGCCAATTGAGCATATCGTCGGCAGTATTTCGCGTTTATTTAGGTCCGGTTGACAGTGGAGTGTGGGTGAGGGCCAAAAATGTGCCCACTGCCCAGCTATCATTCACATCCACGAAATGTCGATTAAAATTGCATCGGTTGCATGACAGCTCGTTTTTGTGCGCGGGCAGCCATCAATCATGGCAGCTCACTATACATGTAATGCTGATCAAATCAATCAGCACACGCAAGCCAAAACATTGTGGATAGTAGGACACTTGCCATGAATGCTGATTTGATTATAACCAGTGGCGTTGGTATCGTATGAGTTTAAATGCATATAAATTTCACCTCGACATGGTTGCAAGCACGTTATACAGTCACTCATGTGTCCCAAGTCAGGACATACATATGGTACAAGAAAGCTTTAAATCCTGTCACGTAAACTTTCTTACCTGTGATAATGTTCCCTGCAGTCTCCTCCACCGCTCAAACCGCCTTCAGGGCCTCCCTATAACACCTCCTGCCACTTCCAATCAATGTTCAGCTCTGCACACTATCCAGCCGTCCCAGCACCGATCACACACCAGTCAAATGTCTCTCCAGCCCCACTGCAGCGCGCGGCGTGCACCCCCCTCCGTCACCGATTCCGCACTGCTCGGCGCCGGCCGCTCCACAGGCTGCCGAGCCGGCCGGGCTCTCTGACGGCCGGTAGATGGCGCTGATCCGCTCTCTGATTGGCCAGCACCGGTCTACGCAGGCCGGTAGCGATCGTCGGCTACCTCCTCAATCCCGTCGACTGTTTTCGCGGCCCGCAGCGGCGGCTTCTGCCTCACGAGCTGCATTACTGTCCCCAGGGGAAGCTCTGAAAACTATCAACATGCTTAGAGGAGAAAAACGCTCGACGTCGCGAGCTGCTTGGGTCGGACCGAGACGGGCCTTTTCAAAGGAATATGATCGAATGATTTTAAAGCTCCGTGTCACACATTTCCCGACTCGTGCTGTTTACAAAGAGCACGCCATTAGCAAAACCATTTGAAGGGCGACACGTGTGGACATGAAAACAGATTGATAAGATCAATCGGACGATGAAAGCTTCTTTCCTTTCCATTGTTCACGATCAATCTAAAAGAACATTAGACTGGTCGAAAAGAAGGAATAAAAGCTATGATAATTCAATAATCACCTTTCGGCGATTAATCATTTCCTGTGAATATTGTCGTGCTCGGTGCTACGTCCTTAGCCGCGTATCGCAATGTCTCTGCATTTATTCACACTCTACTACCTACACATAAAGTTGTTAGGTGTACTTATCGGCAGAAGATAAAGTTGGAAGTTATTGCGTCGTCGGATCAAGCAGCGATCACTGCTCAGTGCTCATTCGTTTTTTTATAACCCATGGTTCTTTGCTGTACCTGCCATTTTGTCAGTTGATTACCGAGCGCTGTGATTTGGTGCTAGCGTTATATGCCGCTCTGCAGTCGCCTGCTCGGCGGAACAGTCTACATACGCAGGCGTTTCCCGAGTGGCGGTCGGGAGCGGGCGCTGGCATTGGCGATAGAAGAATAGCCGGGATTCGAATTCTGGGATACCACATTACATTTCTCCATTCACTAACAGGACAATGAAGCGTCATGCCTTTGATTATGAGCATCCCATCTAAAAACTACAGCTTTTTAATGTAAGTCAACAATGAATCAGCGTCCGCCATCGCTCAGCCGAATCGGATGCGGTTTCTCTCGGTACTTACATCTTGTGCCAAACAGTGAACAGTTAAATCGCGATTCAATAGCGTATGATTTTTATTAGAAATGGAAAGAAGGAAAGTTATGGAATAAATGAGGCAAAGTGGAAAAAGCAAGCGATGCAACCTTCGAATCAGCACCGGGAGACATAATTTTCGTAGCGGTTATCTCATCACAGTTCGACAAACACACCATTATCACAACTCGCAGGCTTTGACATAGCTCCCCGTTGTTATGCATTGGAGAGGCCGACCGTCCTCTGGATTTCTCGCACCATTCAAGATGTCTGCTGGGTAATCTCATAAACCCTGTCTTTCCAAAGTCATTGGATCTTACTCTCGGCGATGTTACAAAAAAAAAAAAATATGTTTTACAATATTAGTTCTAATGTTTGATTGGCGGATTAACTGAGCCGGAGCCCGAGATAAGCATTGATTAGTATGTATTTCTTTACTTCTGAATTGTAATTTATAGCTGCACATTATAGGCAGACTGGTCCTTTTTACGCAAGTGTATCACGCATGATATGGGTAGGATTTTCAAGCAAGTATAACTTAGTGCATTGAATAGATAATTGTCAGCCTGATAAAACCTAAATTTCCAACAACGTTCTTCAAAAGTTCATAATGTTTCCCATCATAAACTTGCACGCGGTGCAGATCGTTTGCAAACTGAACTTCACAGCACGTAAACAACAATCGTAAGTTCCGCCCACTTCAGTGAATGGAAAAGCAGAAGGAACTTGTTCAAAATTCATTGTCGATTCAATAACACCTTGAGTGGATTTTGAATGGCTTTTGTGGATTCATTTAATAGTACAACTTTGTGATGTTAGTTAGTTCTCAGCGCTCTAGCTACATTAACATCTAAACGATTTGTCAGATATTAATTAGGTGCGCATTATTTTAGAGTGCATTTCATCTTTGGTTTCTTTTCTCAAGGCACTCATGTTAGGTGCACATCTGTATCCTGCATCATAAAACATGACCAATATCAACCACGTCCAATCACTCACAGTATCGCCAAAATTAGCATGTAATACCCAGACAGCCAATATCTCTCTCCCACCTCCCACCTGGTGCCAATATGGCCAGTAAATAAGACCATGCGCTGCCCACTGGCTGGGGCTAATTCATCCACGTCACTGGGGCAATACGGCACCATTACACCGCTATCCCATGACTGTAAAGCACCTGAGCGGGCGGCCGGCGGCTGGCCGGGGACCGCGGCTGCCCCAGTGACCGGCCACGATCGTGTCGCACGCACTATGTATGCATGCGGTGGACGTAATCCATCCTCTGGACGCTCCCCCGGCGCCTCATCTGTCCTCACGGGTCGCCGCGCGTCCCACCCACCCACCGCGCCGGGACGTGTCAGCCCGTGCTCGTTCCGCGGCCGGCGGTGCGTGGTTTGGGCTGACACCGCCGCTACTTCCGACGGCGCCGACGCCGCGCCTCACGGGCTATTATGGGAGATTTATGTATTGTTTTCTTTATCGGGCGCTCGGCGCAGCCAGGCGCAGCGGTAGTGTCCTCACGGGTTGAGTGGGGCCGGATGGGCTGCACCTGATCCTGTCGTGTCACATTGGTTCGCCTTCGTTTTCAAAAAGGGTCCATAACGATGCGACATGTCGCTGTATGTCTGATCGCACCTATTGTTTTCAGGCTCGGCAGGGAATCCCTCAAGACTCCGCTCATAAAAACTGTGCCTGTTTTCCTTATGGCTGTTAATGACTCTCGTGTCCGGCTCTTTGACTCGTAATGACACCGAACAAATCAACTCGCGTGTGGCCGTGGAGGGCCGCGGACGGCTGTTCGCTGTGACCTGCGTCCGCGGACCATGTTCGTGAGACTGTCCGCTCCGGCCGGCCGGTCGGATATTCTCGCTGTCAGGCTTCCCGACCGCCGCGCCGGGTCGTCCGCTCTGTCGCTGGCCGATTCAGACATAGATAAATGGCGCAGAGAGCGGCAGCCCAAGTTCCCCGCGGAGATCGAGGTAAAGCTCTGCACAAAGGCGCACGTGCATCTGCATATCAGCAACGATAACTGGCTCAAAACGCCCACTCAAAGGGGTCAAGATTCTTTGAAAATGCGTCGTAACAAAGCGCTACAACTTGGAAAGAAAAGGAATGGAGCTTCTTAGAATTACGCTCATCAGGCATGAAATATATATTAGTAATTTGTGAAGCTATGGAATGGCATGGATGCATATCCTTCCCAAAGTTAATTTAGCGTCAATCATATGCAAGAGGCCGATTCTAGGCCGCCTTTTTGTGATCGCCGCTCAAACCTGCACACCCGATAGGCAATGGCTCGGGTGATCCGTACATTGAACAAAAGATGCTGTGCAGTGTGCGTACATAACCACCAATCCTCCGTAAAATGAAGTCACAATAGCAGGAAGAGAGCACTCCTGAAATTTCACGATTCTTTATTCTTTATCTCTTGCCGAACTTCCGTTCACTGCCGGTTGCTGAGCCGAGATGGCACCAGAGGGCATTGCAAACGTCCGGAATTGCGGCGACTGGAGCGTGGGCAAACACTTCAAATCTACTTAGGGTGCTGCCGTGTCGAGCGCACGGCGAAATACATACACAGTTCAGAACTTCAGTCGGACGAAAACATTGCTAGGCTCATCTTGAAGCAGGATGTCCGGGTGCACGTACTATATTTCATAAATAAGCATATGAAAAATATGATTATTACATTATTCATACATGAAACATTGCTAGCAAAGCAAAACTTTAGGTACATGAAAATTCATATGAACGTTTTGAAACATTACTATCTGTGTATTCTATACGGCAAAGAGTAACTTCCTCGCCGTGTCCGAAATGGAAACGATTATATGTAGTTCGAGAGGTTCATGGCTGTTGGAACCCTCAAACTACTCTACCTTTAACCAGCATACCAGCTATATTTTACCAATTAGCCGTACTAGTTCACAAAAACGGTCAGCTAATAAGTTATCTGTCGCTGTACTACAAAGCGAACGCACTCGTGGAATCCAACCGGTATCTTCAGATATCGATTGTGATGCTTGATCGGAACATAAAGTAGAATGTTTTATAGCGGTCGGGACCAGATCGGAATGTGACCCTATCTGCGTCGGGAACGGAGGGAAGACGGCGGACGGTGGACGGTGGACGGTGGACGATGGATGTTCGATGATAGCTGAAGAACTGTGGACGTTTAGTAACTTTGGCGAGTGAATATCCCTTGCCTAGGTCTTTGGTAACGGCAAACCAACATGTGCAGTTCATTCAAGCTTTGAAATTTAAAATTTCAAAGGACAAATTGGTAGCCAATAAACTATGTGCTACATCGCAAATCAAATCAATTCTCCAATTCGGCTGTTCAAAAAACTGTTGCGTGCCGGACATTTTTCACATTCCAGTGCGCGACTGCCGAGTTGTTTGCGATTCGCTGCCGGCGCTGAGTCAGAGCTCAGAGTTCTGAAATAAGCCCGGTCTGCTCTTGGAGCTGGCGCGGCGGCGGGCTGTGCCATTCGGCGGTATATCCTCCCCGTACCGGGCACGCCAGCTGAGTCCGCCTTTCTGCGCCGCTGAATAGCGTCCTAGGTAGCCCGTGTGAGGGTCTTTGTCGTGACGGCGACTGCTGACTCGACTGGGCGCCCGCGGAGAGCTTCTGCCGGGCACGGGAGCCGGCAGAGCCGGACGTCTACCAGAGAATGAATGGGTTCTGTCGGAAACGCTGCCTGAGGTCGTTCAAATGATGGATTCGGCCATGAACCGGAATGTGGCAGCAGCAATTGAGATTCATTTACTATTTTTGTGGGCACTGTCAATGGGAAGTTATGTCGCGTGTCCTACCACAAAGGCAGTGGCTATCACAATGAGTTGATTCACTCGACAATAGAATGGACATTGCTGGCAATTTTGGACCTTTGAC